CAATCACGAAGTTTCGTCCGTACTTGTACGGATGCCCGTTCCGCGTAGTCAAGGACCACCACTCGCTCTGCTGGCTTGCGAACCTCAAGGACCCGTCAGGACGCCTCGCTCGATGGAGCCTCCGGCTACAAGAGTTCAACATGACTGTGGTTTACAAGTCAGGACACAAGCACATCGACGCTGACTGCCTGTCCAGGGCCCCTGTTGAAACACCTTCCGGCAGCAGCGACGACGATGATGACGAGTGCTTTCTAGGGGCAGTGCACACCGATGACATGGCACGACGTCAACGAGACGATCCGGAGCTGCGAGCCTTAATCGAGCACCTGGAAGGGCGCGGCTGTACCGTACCCCGTATTTTCTCACGAGCCGTGCCGACCTTCGCCATTCGACAAGGTGTACTCTACAAAGAGAACTTCGGGGACAACAACTCGCCGTGGCTGCTGGTAATCCCGACCGACCTTCGAGGGGAGATCTTTCAAGCATGTCACGACGACCCGACATCCGGACACCTTGCATACAGCCGGACACTGGCCCGTATTCGTCAAAAGTATTACTGGCCCAAGCTCCCCAAGACCGTCCACCTGTACACACGATCATGCCACGAGTGCCAGCGACGCAAGAAACCTCCGACGAGGCCGGCCGGACTCCTGCAGCCTATTTCTCCTCCAACTGCACCCTTCCAGCAGATCGGAATGGATCTACTTGGTCCTTTTCCGCCTTCGACGTCGGGGAATCGCTGGATCATCGTCGCCACAGATTATCTCACGCGGTACGCCGAAACGAAAGCTCTTCCTTCGGGGACTGCTGTGGAAGTTGCCAAGTTTTTCATTGAGTTCATCGTCCTCCGGCACGGCGCTCCAGAAGTTCTGATTACAGATCGCGGATCATCGTTCATGGCACAACTGACCCAGGAAATCTTCCGACTCAGTCACACCAGCCATCGTCGTACAACTGCGTACCACCCGCAGACCAACGGGCTGACGGAGCGACTCAACAAGACAATCGCCGATATGATCTCTATGTACGTCGACGTAGAGCACAAGACGTGGGACGAAGTGCTGCCCTACGTCACGTTCGCCTACAATACGGCGGTTCAAGAGACCACTGGATTCACCCCTTTCCAGCTGGTACATGGTCGGAAGGTAACGACCATGCTGGACGCCATGCTGCCCCATGAGCCATCTGACAACGAGAGCGACGACGCCCAGGCGGTTGCTCAACGCGCCGAAGAAGTTCGCCAGCTCGCCCGACTCCTGATTCAAGACCAGCAACGCGTCGACGCCGGCCGCTACAACCTTCGTCGCAGGGACATCCACTTCCACCCCGGAGATAGGGTGTGGGTATGGACGCCCATCCGTCGCCGCGGCCTCAGTGAGAAATTGCTGAAACGATACTTTGGACCCTACAAAGTGCTTCGTCGACTCGGGGATCTGAACTACGAAGTGATGCCCGACGGAACACGGACTTCGTCACGCCGCCCTCCATGTCCGGAAGTCGTCCACGTCGTGCGCCTGAAGCCGTACTACGCTCGATAGGACTGTGGATCTTATGTGTTTCAAATGACTCTTTAGTTTGCCGTTCTTTTTATGTGCTTTGTTTTGTTTTGTGTTGCCTCGAGGCGATGCACTTTTTAAGGGGGGAGTAATGCCGCGCGCCATGTAGGCAGCGCGGCCGTAGCCTAACGGTTATCGCGCTTGCCTCCCACGCGAATGGCCAGGGTTCGATTCCTGGCCGTGGCTACGGATTTTTGTTTACACTGTAATGTGATGTTCTAGTGAATTCGAGAACCGTGTAGCTGATTCGAGGTTGGAATGTTCTACGCGTCGAACCTTCTACATCGAATGCTCCAGAAGCCAACGAGTGTACAAAAGCGGCTCCGCCTGGCAAGCAGGAGTCAGTCTCGCCCCAGCGCTCGATTCTGCTGACACGCCGACTTCGACGCCCGCGACGCTCTGCTTTCTTCTGTTTCCTTCTTTATTTTTGGCTCAAGTTCGCCACATTAAACGTTTATTTATTTCTGTTTATTTCTTGTTTATTGGTCACGACTCACCACCCGTGACAAATTGACAATATATATATATATATATATATATATGCAGGGAGGTTCAGCTAAGATTGACAACAAATCCTACAATTAGTGTATTTCATGTAAAAAGAAACAGTTTCTGGGAACCTCAATACAAGTGGTGACGAACGTCAGAAATTGCCCAATACTTACTAGTTTGTTGGATAATAGTATAAACTTTACTATATAATTTTTTTGAGTTAAATTCACATATGTGTAAAAGTAGAAACCTGCAGGGCGCTAACAAAAGGGGTCCATATCACAAGAGCGAATGACATTTTAGCGAACAGCGACATTTGAGCGAATCGACGTTTTAGCGAATAACGGGGGCGCGCGTTAACCCATCCGCCGCGCTGCGCTTACTCCGCTTCGCGGCGACAGTCTGAGGCGGCTCATTACAAAAATGTAAACCCATTTAGCCCACTCGAAAACGCCGCTTCGCGGCGTCCGACTATTCGCTAAAGTGTCATTCGATGAAACGTGGGCGTTCGCTAAAACGTCATTCGTTCAAGTGAGTGCCTTGTGCCACTAAATCAGTAATTTTAAGAAAGACTTTCAGCGCTCCAGAGGCGTAGTACTCCGCTGAAGTTACTACTCATGGAGCAGGTACAAGGCTAGCGGACGCGGTAAGGCGCCCGCGCGATTTTTCCGCCGCTGATGACACTCCCAGCCTCGTGCCTGCTCTAGTAGTGGTAACTCTCGCACTACTACGCTTCTTACGCGATCAAACCCTTTCTGAATATTACTACTACCTTTGCACGCTAAGTATGCCGCGCGCGTCTATTTACTCTTCGAGAAGGTGTACTTTACCGCCGCAATTATGACTTACAAGGACGACCATGGCTACTTGCAGTTTCGCGCCTTTGCAAAGATAACTTATTCGTTTGTTCCACGACGACCCTACCACTGCTCACTTCGGATTTTCCAAAACATAGAGCAGAATTCGCGCAAAATTCTTTTGGACTGGCATGTAGTACACCATTTGCACGATATGTTAAAACACGTAATCAATGCCAGGCAAAACAAAAACCTCGAACAAAACCTGCATTAACCTTAAGTCCTATTCAGCCTCCCAAATATTCATTTCTTCGTATTGGTATTGATTTCATCAGTTCTTACTCGTGCTTCTAAACTAATAACCACTGAATAATTGTAACTGTCAATATTTCACGTGCTACAATAAGACAAAGGCGGTGGAAGCCACCACAACGCTCGAAGCCGCTAACTTTTTTTTTCTCATTTCAACTTGCTTCGTCACGGTGCCCCCAATACATCATCACCGATCGCGGTAGTTTTTTTAGAGCACAAGTCTTTCAAGAACTTATACGTCTCACCGATATCGTTCAAAATTTTGCGTGCGTATCATCTACAAACCAATGGCCTCACCGAACGTTTACATCGCACATTAACCAACAGAATCACAATGTATTTGGCAGATGACCACAAAAACTGGAACACAATCCCTCGATATCTATCTGGCGCTTACAACTGCAGCCACTAAGCCGTGGCAGGACATTTCCCCTTCTACCTTCAATACGCACGGTAACCGCTTTGCACCTTAGGTACCCTTTTGCCTTACGCTGACGACGCTTCACTCGATCGTCACGCCGATGATCTACCGTGCAGAAGGAACAGGGTCAGATTCCAGAATCCGCAGAAACAGCAATGACATCACATTATTCACAGACTCATACACAGGTGGATCGCCCCTTTTTCTGCCCGGGAACATAATATTCGGAAAGAAGACGAAGTGGGTCTCCCCTGATCTTGCTCGTCTAACCCGTGCTCTTCGAATCTGGGGCAACCGACTGCCGAACTGGCTGTTGACTTATTACAAGAGCTGCATCATCATAATCATCCCATTAAGCCAACCTGACATCATCTTACAATACACATATATCATATCTACTGTGAGGACGGGCATTAAAACGGCACTGTTACAATTAAATATATTTACACATTCAGAGTACTTTCTACTTTGGGAATCGACATATCGTATTCGACACAATTTATAATGATGTTGACTAAGACACGCTTGTTTACCTATTCATATTTTGATTCTTAAGATGTCCTTGTTTTATATACCGAAACGTCTGATATAACTTGTGTTGTGAAAGAAGTCCGAAGTCGGGAAACTAATATCTGAAAAAATGCTTAGGGAATTCACCAAAACATTGACCAGATCCTCGAGCTCTGTTTGAAAGTATTCGCATCCATGACATTTTTTTGAGTTGCACTGTAAAATGAAACAATTTATTAATTGCCTTTGTTGACCAAACTTATCAAACCGATAATGATTACTTCAACCAATACTTTTACATTGCTACAAGCAGGTTACATAACTGTGTTTTTATTTTCAGCGCCATGTGGAGAGCAAGTCGTCTTCTTCTTTAGGATGATTTGCGGTAACGTCAGGACGATGTCGAGTACTGATCGGCTTCGATTGGAGGATACTGGGTAGGCCTCAATGCTAAATGCCTTGAGGTCTACCCACTACTTTTTTTAATCAGCCAATAAGACCTTGGCGTTGTACCATCATCGTAACCGCTGTGCAAGAAGCAGACAAACTTGCACTCTACATTAACACGAAACCTATAGTCTTGACGCATGCTTTCATTACCTCGCACTGCCACCTATGAGCACAATATACTGTTTCATGTTTTCTCGCATGATATTATGACTCATCTATTCCAGGATGTAAAACATATGATTGCATAGGTACTTGTATGGTTGCTGTGCAGTAGCTGCGTGAAACAACGATGAAAAAGTTTTCTATTGTCTAGGTGTTGGCCTGCAAGCTTGCGCAGGCAGAGGAGTTATGACGTCAAAAGAAAATTTTGTAAGAATAAAGTACACCTTGTTTGTCTCTCCGTTCCATATAAAAATACCTGTTTCCAGCACAATCCACTAAATCTTCGTTCAACATCTCGAGATGGAACTCAACGCCTTTACGATTCTACAAATTGCCGTATTCATTGCCGTTGGGTATCATGCCAAGTAAGTGTTATTTTATTCAGTGAAGCATATACGTATAACTTTTAAACTTGAATACAACATATAACTCGTAATGGCCACATATTCGGACAATGAATATTCCTATGTTTATGACCGATGTGGCGTCGCGGGCGGCCACCCCCAAGGCACAGGTCCTCAAACCGCCCGCTTAATTCTTTTGTTTTTTTAATTTCACGGCTCTGTTAGAAAGTTCCGGTAGCATCTTGTAACGTATCGCTTGTTCTTCTATGGAATGTTCCAGACTACGTAGTCTGTATAAAAATAGCTGATACCTTAACGTGGCGTAGGTCGCATTATCGTTGCTATCACGGATTTCACGGTTTTATTTTTTATAAGTTTGTACTCATGAGTTCGTGTAATTAAGCAATTATTTTCAGTTTTACATTTTTCCTGTCATTTCCCATCAGTCGCAAGATATAAAATTAACTTTGGGTAGTTGTCTTTGCTATTTGACTTGTGCAATTAAAGCAGCTAGATACCCGTTCCTCGTAGCCGCTCGAGACAAAATACGCTGGCATCTTTTGACCCGGGGGTCTCGAACTCATTTGAACCCAGATAGCCCACCCCCAAAATGTCGAGGGCACACATAGGGGGGAGGGGAAGGGGGGAGGGGGGAGTATATATATTAGGACAAAAAGCGATCAAAATAGCGATTGTGTTTCACGTTGCAAAGAAGTCGAGTATTTTAGCGACACCCAGAGATTTTCTAAAGAGGGAATCTCGTGTTATTTGCCGTTTGTAAAATATTTGTGTTCTCAGTTCCGTCCCTACTTTTAATTTGTGCTTTGTGCAATTACAAGATTCAGAATGCCACCATCCGGTTAAAGTGCTGGAATGTTTCAATACAACTATGAACCAAGTACACAATCCTTACTATGTCGCTAAATTCACTCGGGAAGTATCAGAGTTCAATATGTCTCGAAATTCTTTACGTACGGTATGTTTTGCTCTCTTGACAATTTTTATAGCAGAATTAAAACACTATACTTGTGTCTTAAAGGTATGTAAGACAAAATATCCCTTGGTCTATAATAAAATAGAATAGTGGCAAAATGTTACAACGTCATAAGGGGAGAGCTACATTCCTAGTGGAAATGAATAGACGACAAGAGCTCATTATTTATGGAGCATTCAGAACTCAAGGCATATAGGAACAGGAACTCGCAACCACGGGCAGCGTGTGGCCCGCGGGCCGCGTGTTTGAGACACCTGCTTTCGGCTGTAGAGCGTTTGGTATCCCAAAATTGTTGCAAGTTTCACGACACAAAATTATATATGCTTTTTCTAGTTACAGTATATTTCAGCTGCTGACCATATTAGACCCCGTGTTGCTGCTGGATGTTTCCGAAGTAGGTTAATACCGCACAAGATGACCCGCGGTAAACAAATGTAGAGACACTATCAAGCATTTGGACTGCCTAAATAATTATAAGCTAATACATGAAACTGCGATTCCTTGATACAATATTGTATTAAGGAATCGCAGTTTCCACTGTAGGTAAAAGGTATATACCTTTTACATACAGTGGAATTTTCATCTATCACACTCCTCAAGCGGACAGTATGTCTTATTGTCCGTCGAGCTCCCTTATCAATGTGTCATTTGTTGAAGTCTTTGGCATCAAATTATCAAATATGCAGCTTCCAGCGTATTTGCACAAATATTGATCAATCTAGAAACCTTAACCTGGAGAGAGTTGCGTCCATTTAAGAACTTACATTTGATTCGAAGATTGCTTAAAGCAAATACTCTGCTCAGCCTATTTATCAGCTGTGCACATAAAAATGCATGCATCGTGTCATTTATTTCCAAGAGTATCGCCTGATCTCATTTTTTGTATCTTGTTTTTTGTATATCAATGAAGACGGTGAAAAAGAATTGCATTATGGCTAATTTTCACGCTAGAGAAAATGGGCGTATTATTTACTACCACGCTTTCGGTTTGTTTCCTCTAAGGTTTTCTTTTTTAATTCTGAATTCTTGTTTGTTGATATATGCACGTCGTCTATACTCGTTTTCACCATAAGAACTGTAGTGAAACAAGGCCGGCTTGTCGCGGAAAATTACTAATTTTCCCCTTCATGTGGACAATTAAGATATATGCAGGTGAATTCTAGATTATATATAAGTAATCTTAATAAGACGAACAGGTTCCAAACGCCAAAAGCATCTAATTTTCCTCCGTTAAACAAACCTTGTATGAACTACTTCGCGCCGTGTTTGAACAGTGCGTAAAACCTCGTTTTGTCTTGAGGTAAAGTCGGGTATAGAACGCTTGTATTTTATTACGCCTTAATTCATCTGAAAACACGTTACACGTGGACTGAGATACTATTTCTTTAATGATAATTTCAAAGAACAGAACGACTTCGTTGTTGTGACTTGATGTTACCATTTAAATATATCATGATGTCGTTGTAAATTTTTATTGTTATTTGGTTTCTGATACAATGATATGAAGGGAAAAAGCAACTGAAAGATGGCAAGGCTAGCAAACTATGTTTGTTGTGCAACTTATTGAAAATACTTCGTTCTTTGTAGGTTGTACCTTAAGAAACTGGATGCTAATGACATAAACATCGTTTGAACTAAAAAAAAAAACATTAACAATGTACTATCGATAATCTAGTTATCGACGTCCTGCCCACTCTTTGTAGTGTCTTCTATAAATTTGAGTTTCGTTTTCACTTTGCAAGTGTTTATTAGCGGAATGGTATAAGTAGTGGTGCCTGAGTTTCTATTATAATTTAGACGTATATATTATCTCAATATTGTGAGCGACTGTGCTCGTGCCTGAATACTTTTTAGAAAATGAATTTTTATCGGTACCCAGTGTTTCATTTACCGTCAACCTGTGCCAGGGACGCAGGACTTTATCAAGCTGCCATAGCAGCCTTTTAACCGTGTTTCGTCCTTTTTGTATAAACGAACAGCAGAACAACAACTTTGTATATTTAATGTTCTTACTTGACTATGCAAAACATTTAAAATTTGGTCACTAAAAGTGCTCATCATCAAAGATAAAAACTTTCCTTGAGCAATTGAATCGAGGCTCTTTGTCTGATTCCTCTATTGTATCTTGGGTTTCAGTTTTTAGACAATCTATACGATTTGAAAATACTGTGAAACTACACAATTTGTTTCTTTTATTTCCAATCATGCTTGGTTAGAGTGAAAGAAAGCGATACGTTGTATAGAAAACCTTCAGAGTACTGAACACACAGCACAGATATTTTTTAAATACGGTTTTCTTACCATTAGTCAGCTATTCATTCTTAAACTTTCAATGTATATCTATAACAAAACAATCAGTGACCCTACCCGCTTTTTTGACGCACTTCTTCCTAGTAACACACGATACAATCTTCGTCGTGGCTCCTATAGAATACCTTGGTCTAGGACAAATTATGGACATCACCAATTAGCATACTTAATACCTGATTTCTTTAATAAACATCCCGCTGTTAGGGAAATAATTTCAGATTGTGTATTAAAACACAGCTTTAAAATTAGTAAAAAGCGGTACCTTCTGTCATGTCACGTTGGGTAAATACTTTTAGATCGTATTTTCATTACGTATGAGTTGTATTACCTGTTTCATTTACTTCCAAAGTGTTGAGTGCAGTAACGATTCTATGGGCTCTGTACAAAATCAGCTGTGTTGATTGATTTTGATCTGATATTGTATCTTCTTGTACTTCTTTAATGTTCATTGTTCTTGTTTTCGCCTGCTGAGCATTGTAAACGGGTGATAGGAGCACTCAGGCAGAGATAATCTGCCTTTTGTCCTGTTACCCTTGACCTAGTGTCTAAATAAAACCAATTCAATTCAATTCAAAGCGTGGTGAACACACGCCCTTTTCCTATACATAATTGGGGTCTTGCTGAACATACTTCGTATCAGTGCTTCAGCGAAGATCAGGCGCAGTGTAGTGGCAACTAATATGCCCATTTAGAAAAGTAAAGTAAGCTCTGGAATAAGTGGGAAAATACTCAATATTTAACCTGGTGAATAATAGTTATCATAGCGAATTCAATTTAAAATACAAACAGATTTTATCTGTCGTAGGATATCATATGCACAACGTGATGATTTTAGATGAAGTCAAATATTGATTCACGTAAAAAATGGATAGTAATATTCATTAATATAATAAAATATTAGGTACGTCACCACCGAGGTTTCCCTCCAATATAAAGTATCCTGAACCATATCGATAATCCTTTTCCGGGATCTGTTGACTTAGAGAGTGTTCTACGTAATATACATTTTCTTTCATTGCTTCATAAATGATTTGAAACACTCTTGAATAGTGTTATTGCACCGATATTGCTGATGATATATGAAAAGGAAACAGTAAACCCACTGGCACACAATGAATGCTAGAATGATAGAGTGGTACTAGAGATATCGAGATCCTTAGTTACTACAAAACTGTACCTTGTGAATTGAAAGACGGGATACTGCTTCGTTTTGTAATGGTATCTGATGAAAAGCTTCTTGAAATTTTAAATTATAGTACAGCATTGAACGTGTTTTCAGATTTCCAAGACCACCCAATGCGTGTTTAAGTAGAATTCGTTATCTATATAATGCCTGCAAATAGCCGTGGAGTGGCCATATGCCAAAGATTATATTTTTTATTAATCACTAGAATGAGTTTTAAGTTTTAACCTGACACTTTTTATGGACTACCATACTGTGGTTGTTTTCAATGTATCTCATTCCCTTACTCTATGGTAGCACAGGTCTTAGTGCCACGACTATATATAAATAAATAAATAAATATATATATATATATATATATATGTATATGTATATATATTGCCTTACTCAGATCGTGGATTGGTGCAAATAAAATATTCATGTGTTTCGAACTATATGGTTTTAGCATCACGTATTGTACATATATATGGACTATAAATGAAAGCTTTAGTGACATATGTGCTTTCTTTAAATTTATGTAACATTCGATGTGTAGGAAGGATTTGTTTTATACATTGGTAAGGTAGTTTAGCCTGACATTAGCTGTCAAACTAACATTGTATCAAAACAGTGTATATTTCTGGCAGTATTCGAAGGTATGCAGTGCAATAGGCTTATAACGATACCACATATAACAATCTAACCCCTCTAACGATTTTTTTAGAGAACGATGCGCTTTTTCTTTTCGGTATTCAGTCCAGGTACGGCCATAATCGGTTATAACGATAATATTTTCGGGTTCTCTCAATATCCCTATACGCGAATGGCACTGTACTTCAATACGTAGTGTCGTAGTATAGTTTCTGGGTTAAGTTGCATTATATAATTTCAGGAGCCTGTTTTTACATAAAATGAGAAGTAAATATTCAAAACATTTTTGTAAATACTGGGTCCTTCAAGTGCTAAACTTAAAAAAAAAGAATTGCCTAAAACCTTTTGTTCCTGAAAGTACTGTTTCTAAACTTGTGTTGCATGTTTCTAGTACCCATACAGCTGCTGCCGGATCTGAGGAAAAGAAACCTAGTAACCATAAGGAAGACATTTATGTCGCGTATTGCGGCATGAACGTAAGTATTTTAAGTGATCAAAATATATTTTAATTAGTCATTACTAATAATTGAGCAAGGAAATACCTCTCAAAGGTTACTGATTCTTGAAGACAACTCTAACAAACTGTGACAAAGAATTCGAGGAAACCTCGAATTCAGTGCGCGGCAACGTGTCTAATGCAAATCTGGTATGGTAAAGTAAATATCTGAATTGATCCCTAGGAAAGTGCCGAGTTCTGCCACGTTGAGTACAACAGCATGACAAGTAGCTGCGCCGCCGACGTAACTCAGTAAATTTACCAGGTCCATAATTATTTCCGCATTACTGCATGCTTTGTCCGTTTTTTCTCCTTTCGGATTCGCCCCGGCAGCATCTACGGGGGCTATGTTGGCCGCCGACGGGTGGACTTCTCTATCGCACGCTTGTCTAAAGCTACACACACAAGAGCAACGAAAATAGACATCGCGCCGGGGTTACCATCCGAACTGCCACGGACGTTCTGATGTACTGTTGCGATCAATATGAGTGCGAACACCGCTCCGCGTGGCCCGAGGTACTATCAGTGCCCCTGTCGACTGCTCTTTGAAGTACACGTGCACCTTGGTTTCGGGATATATCGTCTACAGCGATCGCCGCACCACTCTGCACTTCCGAGTCGTCTGCTCCGAAAAACGGTTGGCGAAACCGCGAAACTGTTCGCCAATGACGAGCATTTTTTGCTAGCAATGTGCGCCAGCAAGAAATAACTTCTATAAACATCTTTAGGTTGATCCTTTCGATTAGGAGGTTTTAGTAGAATATTCCCCTGACTACGATAACAATACCCGATACTCCGCCGACGACTTTAAGCATGCATTATACCAGGGGAGGCCAAAACGCGGCTCTTTGCTGGGCCAAGTGCGGCTCGCAGATCCCCCCCCCCCCCCCCTCCCCCACGCCTTTCCGTGTTTCCCCAGAAAAAAAAGAAAGGATTTCAGAATAAAGCACGGCTCGCGGTTTGGCAGCCTTGAACTCCCATACGTACAGTCGTACAGCCTTGTGCCCCCATACGTACAGTCAGACTCTAAACAAAATTCAAACTTTGCACGAAGGACCTTGCACGAAGGACCGGGATGTCTAATTTTATTAGGGACTTTTCGTGTATCGCATACGCTTCGGATTTCTGGTCTTGTGCATGGCCGCCAGCTTAATCTGTACTCAACGTGACGAAAAACGCTCCCACTAATAATGAAGAACTCTATAGTACGGTCTACGGAAAGTCTATTCTTTGCCTTTAGTAGGAAAAAACTCGTCGAGCAATACACATCGGGAATGGGTTCACGTTTTAAGGCCGTTACAAGGAACATGACTATTTATTCCAAGCACTTAAAAAAGACAGAATACCCGTACTTGCTTTCAGGTGATTACAAAGCAAATAAAGAAAGGCTAGAAGCATCTTAAGCGGTTCTGTGTTAGGCAGCCGTTTGTGACGAGAGCTTAGAACGCGCAATTTTGGCCAGAGGGACCGCAATGTTACAAATAACCCGTAACAAAAAATGTTCGGTATATTAACATATTTATTTTTTATAAATCGATAAATAAAACTCCTAAACACGCCGGTTATGTTAATAGGCAGTTTTTGCAGAGCGTACGACACCCCTAAACTTCGTTTGGACGTACAGCGCACTGACGTTCAACCAGTCCTCCCAACTTTCACGAGCGACTTGTTAGCCCAGTTGTGCAACTTTTTAAAATAACCCAATAAGTGTGAATGACTGTAAAAAAATATTAATAATAATCGGGGTTTTCTTGGCCCTACTGCAAAACCTCGTGTTTTTTTTTTTGTTTTTTTTCGGAACTCTTTGATGCCTACTTTAGCTGTTTAATATCTTATCATGCACCGTCATCAAGCCTCTCGTAAAAGTTGGGGCCGTCCGTTTGACGTTAGTGGGCTGCACGGCGAACTGAAGTTTTGGAGTGTCGTATATGTGCCAAGGGGTGTAAGGACTACAACATTTTGTTTTTAGAATGATGAGCACGGCAATGCTCCTGGCGCGCACTGAAAATTGTACTTCAAATGCACAGCGCGAGCTTGCGGTGATAATGCTACACCGCACGGTAGCCTGTGATAAAAAAACTTTCTATCAATAACTATAGAGCAGTTTGATTACGTGTTGCAATACAATAACACCGAGACGGCGAGCAGCGAGTTGTGAGCCTGTGACGCGAAGACACCAATACTGTGAACGCTGCTCTTCCGAAGCTTGACGGTCAGCGTTCTCGGCTCTTTTTTTTTAGAGAACTAATGGCCAGGCAAAGCCGCAAACATATCTTCATCGCCCTCAAAAATATTCTGCCACAAACAGTAACCTGGCCGGTGCCAAAAACGCGCTCGCTCACCCCAAAGCTTCGCAATTTGAGGTTTCTGCAGCTTTTAAATAAGAGCATGCTCATTTTCCTAACGTGCATCAGCATCTACGTCACCTGTAATATGATCCCTTCATAACCGCTTCGCATTTGTAGACCAATAAATAATTTTTAGCGCGCTGAACAGCGTCAGCGCGAGCAGGCGCGCGGGATATCCTGGAGAATCTATCCCCGTCTCTTCCGTCATCTTGGAACTACCGCCCCGCCACCTATAGGGCGTTGGAGTTGCGAACAGGACTGAAGCCGAAATCCATCAGCTTTACTTCGCCCCTTTAAGATCGGGGAAACTAGGTGCTGTAGGGCTAGGCTTTGCGCGTGGTTTCATAGCTGGGAGCAGCCTTCACTCTGAGAAAAAAATTTAAGGTGCGGCTTGACGCGGCTCGCTATATAAGACAGTTAATGTTCTCGCATAAAAAAAAAAAAAAATCACGTATTAGTTTAGAGTTATTATTTTTTTTACACCGACTACTCTGACTAGCTAGGCGATCGCGGCGCAGAACATAGCGAGCTTGAAAACACTTCTTCCCCAAATAGAGAAAAAGAAAGCAACCTCTCTGAAATGTAGAAAAAAAAAACATCTCTCTTGCTCTTTATATATATATATATATATCTATATATATATATATAGATATATATATATATATATATAACTAGAAAAAAAATGGTGAAAAACAGTAACAAAGGACGATTTATTCTTCGACGTTTCGGCCGGAGTCCGGCTTTCGACACGAAGATCTTCGTCTTCCTCACGAAGGCCGGACTCCGGCTGAAACGTCGAAAAATAAATCGTCCCTTGTTGCTGTTTTTCAGCAAGGGTTTTTTCTTTTCTTCCAGTTATATACCCATGAATCCGGCCTCCGGCCGAATGCTTTAACACTCCAACAACATTTGGAAGTGCGACTTCTTTACTTTATATATATATATATATATATATATATATATATATATATATATATATATATATATATGGGTGATTTCATCTCAAATCGGGCAGGCTAAAAGTGTCAAATTTTTAATTTTCACGAAAAAAATACATGTTTTTGGGGTATTTCTCAAATGAAGGAGGGCGCAAACCGCATGTTCTCCCGATTTTTTGTTCTCGAGTTACGAGCCGTAGAAGCCGCAGTGGCAGAAACTAGTGTTTTTGCCTGCCGTCGCAGGTCGCGTGTTTGACACCCTCTGCTGACGTTATTGTATTCTCTACAGCCTTCTAACTTTTCCCCATCATTTAATAGGTATTATAAAGATACCTTGATGTATTCAAATATTTTTAGAAATTTGATTGTTTTCTAAAACACATGTCAAACTCGTCACTCCGGTCGCTTTTCGGTCAAATTTGACAGGTCATTACTTTGTCTGTACTTAAGGTAACTTTTCTTTCTTTGGCTCTACAGAAAGCCCAAAGCAAGCCCATTATAGATATAATAATATCATTATGATCTGTCGACTAGCCGCTCCGCTACCTTCACGTAAACGTTGTAAGAAATAACAATGTTGAAAGTTTGAGCTCGATTTTCTCAAAAACCGCCTTTTTGTAAATTTTGATTTTTTTTATTTTTTAAATTCATTTAGACATATTAGTCGACTATAAGAAAAAACAGTCTAGAAATGTAATATTTTGGTTGTATGTCCTCTGTTTGAGCCGCAATCGCGTTAAATGTGTGAACATTTGTTATTATTCACAACGTTTACGTGAAGGTAGCGGAGCGGCTACTCGGCAGATCATAATGATATTATTATATCTATAATGGGCTTGCTTTGGGCTTTCTGTAGAGCCAAATAAAGAAAACGTACCTTAAGTACAGACAAAGTAATGACCTGTCAAATTTGACCGAAAAACAACTGGAGTGACGAGGTTGACATGTTTTTTAGAAAGTAATCAAATTCCTAAAACTATTTGAATACATCAAGGTATCTTTATAATACCTATTAAATGAGGGGGAAAAGTTAAAAGGGTGTAGAGAAAACAATAGCGCCAGCAGAGGGTGTCAAACACGCGACCTGCGACGGCAGGCAAAAACACTAGTTTCTGCCACTGCGGCTTCTACTCTTCGTAACTCGAGAACAAAATATTTGGGGAACTTGCGGTTTGCGCTCTCATTCATTTGAGAAATGCCCCTAAAACATATATTTTTTTCGTGAAAATTAAAAGCTGGACCCTTTCAGCCTGTCCGATATGGGAAATTTCATCTCAAATCGGGCAGAATAAAAAAGTATGAATTTTAATTTTCACGAAAAAATATACGTTCTGGGGGCATTTATCAAATAAATGAGGGCGCAAACCGCATGTTCTCCAGATTTCTTGTTCTTCAGTTACGAAGCGTAGAAGCCGCAGTGGCAAAAACTAGAGTTTTTGCCTGTCGTCGCAGGTCGAGTGTTTGACACCCTTTGCTGGCGCCATTGTTTTCTCTACACCTTTTTGACTTTCCCCCCTCCTTTAATAGGTATAATAAAGATACCTTGATGTATTCAAATAGTTTTAGGAATTTGATTGTTTTCTAAAAAACATGTCAAACTCGTCACTCCGGTCGCTTTTCGGTCAAATTTGACAGGTCATTACTTTGCCTGTACTTAAAGTAAATTTTCTTTATTTGGCTTTACAGAAAGCCCA